GTTGGATGCTGGTCAGATTCCACTGGTTGAGTTTTACCTTTTGATTCCCAGTATTCAGGGAGCTTGAGCAACAGTGAAGAGGGAGGTCACTCATGATCCTTGACAATTCCCCCAGATCCCCCGATCGAATTACTGTGCTATTTCAAGAGTCTCTAACTGGCAGGGAGACATCATTCCTCCCCGTTTAGAGCCACAGGGATGGAGTAAGCGGAGAGGGTTGGTATCTGGAAGGCCCTCCCAGAACTTTAAGTGGGGTCGGGGAGAGAAGCAGGGGAGGGTGGGAGTAATCTGGGTAGGATCATACCTTCCGTTTGCCCACAGTGATCTTTAAGTAGAACTTCCATGCCCACACCAACCACGCTCTGCACCACTGTCCACTGTTCTTGCTCTCTGCGCCTCCTTATCCCCACCCAACCTACTGCCACGCATGCATCGCACACATCTTCGTTACCATCTCTGTTCTCCCTGGCTTCCTTCCAGGCCATGACATTCCTCCACTCGGAGCCCGTTACTGACAGGTGGTGGTTGACCACAGTGCACCAGGACCATACAATCTGAGAACATGCCAGGGGAGAGGTGGGCACTGTTCAAGGTGACCAGCGCTATCGGAGAAGAATTCAAAGAGCTCTAATTAGTCATTACGTCAAGGATAGACAGCTCCTGTGGTACTAAGCCCCAGCAGTGGGGTAACTGAGACACCCACCAGGACAGAGGGCAAAACTGGAGTCCACCCTTGAGAGCCTCCAGTCACTAGAGGTAGATGGGCAGAGAGACCATCAGTTGACCCTTGAAGGAAAGCAGAGAAACCAAAGACCCTCACTGCAGGACAAGTGTACAAGGAGATCCCGGGGACAGGAGTCAGTAGTTGATAAGGGTGGGGGGAGTGTTGATAAGGCGGGAAAAAAGTACAAGGACAGAAGATCAGAGATACATCCCTTCCACTATAAGGGAAAGATACAGGGAGATACAATACTCAAATTCCAGCTCTCCCGCTCCCACACTAGCTCTCCAGCTTAAGACTGAAATCCACGAAGGTTGCCACCACTGCTTTTCCAAAGGGGTCCTGGAGAGAGGAGCTTCAGTAAAGGAGCCCCAGAGCCCCAGAGCCCCAGAGTTGATGCCAAATCGCCCACTGCTGTAAGAATATGTTCGATATTTAGTTGGTTCCTAATTCAACAACCCAATATCAAACATATCACACAGAAGCAGGCAGGAGAGCCTCGGTGGTCATCTGCCTTCCTCCCCTCCAGCCACCAAGCATGGCTAGATGGCAAGCCATCTCCTTGGGGAAGGACGGTGACCCCTGCTCTTCACCTCCCATGACGGTGATGTTCGTGCTGTCCCTGTATCAGCTTCTCTCCTACCAGTGCCTGGCCTTTGCTGGATCACGTTCGGCTGAACCAGGAAGCATATCTGGCAGGGCTCCACATCCGGGCACCTATCCTTTCCAAGGGCTCCCACACAGAGCTTCTCCCCTGATGTCACAACCACAGTGCTGAGAGCCAGCCCGGCCACCTGCTCTTCTCAACCTCCTTCCCATGCCCTGAGGCTTTCCGGGGGTGGGGGACAGGGGGTTTGCACATCCTGCTTTACCTTTCTAACAGAACTCCTAACCTTCCAGATCACCCCCAGTAGACCGCTGAGAGCCTTTCAGCTGACACCCTCCTGGACTCCTCCTGCCCTTAAGTATTACAGAGAAGTAGCCATGAGAAACTTCCAGAGTGCTTGGCTGCTTCCTCCCATCATCTTGTTCCTTCTCACCTTCTCCCCATGTCTCCAGGCATCCTTAAAGTCACCCTTGGATGTCTTCTGGAGCCCCTCTGCCAGGAAGCAGCCTGCAGTCCTTAGGGCTCTTCTCTTCTGGGGCTTTTTACACTGAGAACTCCTGGCCTGGCTTCTCTAAGGGTCTTCCCTCACAGGGGTCCAGCCTGGTTCCTTTCTGGGGGATTTTTCTTCTGAAGAGGATTAGGTCTGTTGAACGTCATGTGGCAGGCAGATGCTTCTCTCCACTGCGGCAGAAAAGAGCCCAAGTTATAGCCTCACCGGGTGGGTAGGGGGCTTGGGTACAAGTGCAGGGGTGGGAGGAGGATGCTCGGCTTCAGCCCCAGGCTTGTTCCATGTGTCCTTGTTCCCATTAGTCCGGATTCCCGCCCCCCTGCAACACATATACCAACCCCACAGTGCCCTTGATCTAGATCAATAGTTTGTCCAAAGCCCTAGTCAGTTCCTGTTCTGTGGCCCCTGCCTTCCAGGGGAAGGCTGACAAAAGGGTGTCCAAGCCCCAAGGGCTGTTGTCTTATGTCCTTGCTACTTCATGGCTCCTACTGGGGGTGTGTGTGTAAGTTTTGCTTTTGTGACCATCTTTCTTACCCTTATCCCCCACATTTAGTTCCCTTCTCTGGGAACCTTGACTACCCTGGCAAACCAGAGGCTGGGAAACGATGAGCAGGAGTTGAAAGGATGAGGCAGAGACTGGGAATATTATTGATGTACAAGAGGAGAGGCTTTCTTAGAAGCAGACCTTGACTTCAGGGCATAACTAGGCAGAAACATCGATGGCATCTTATAAACGCTTTCTAGCTCTGCTGGAATGCCTTCCGTGTACCCATTTCAAACAAGGCTGAGCCCCTCTGAGCCAGAGGAGATGGGTAGGGCAGCACCATAGAGGAAGAAGGGGATGGATGGGTATGACGGGCTGAAACAGTCAGCTGATGTGATGAGAGCAGACAGAGCAGGCAGAGGGGATCAGACGAGATGGGCTCCCGAGGGGCCAGCCTGCCAATACGGGAGCCAGCCTGGCACTGACAAGCCCTGGGGAGAGAGGCCAAGGTCAGGGATCAAGGCAGAGGGGGTGGGGTGTCCTGTGGGTTCCAGTGAACAGAGGAAAGAGGAATGAAGAAGTTGCTGAGGGAGTGTGGTGGTGGGTGGGAGCAGCCAGGTAACGGAGGGGAAATAAAGAGGGAAAGAAGTATCCCAGGGCAGGAAAATATCATTATGGTATTGGACATTATGTGCCACCTTTCTGCAGAGTGCTTTATTTAATCCCCAGTGAGGGGAGGCATCATCTCCATTTTATAAACAAGGAACTGTGACCCAGAAAGTTAAGGCAGCTTGCCCAAGCCACTCACGCAGTAAGTGACAGAGGCAGGATTCAAACCCAGATCTGCTGTTTCTCTGGAGGCCAGGCTCTCCTGGGCAGTGGGAGCAGCAGAGCTGGCTGGGACGTGGCCGCAGGTGGATGACAGACGTGGAGAGAGGGGATCGGGGGGAGGGACAGGCCGAGTGGGAGACCCAGCCTCAGGCTGGGGGTCAGACCCAGGCCGCGTGCACCTGCTTCTGTCCCTTATAACATGGTCACCACCCCTTCCTTCCTTCCTTCCTTCCTTCCTTCCTTCCTTCCTTCCTTCCTTCCTTCCTTCCT